CGGGTCGGCAGGATCGGGACACGGCGCGGGACGGCGGGCGAGGTGGGATGCCTTCCGAGGCTGATATGGAGAGGAAGGTGATGGTGCTGCAGGCGTGGATGGCGGAGCAAGAGCAGGAGGCCAAGCGGAGGGCCAGCAAACTGGAGGACAAGGGTTGGTTCAAGTGGAGGAAGTAGCCATGAGCATACACACCATTGTGGACATGTAGTCACAGAGTTTCGTTTTGTTTACAATGGAAGAAGTCAAATAACTGGCCGACGCCTACCAAGATTCCAATCGCGTGGAGGATTCAGCTTTCAAGTGACTGTACTCTTCATCCTTAGAGCAAGGTTCAACAGGCTAATGGACTTCAAAATTATCTCAAGAGCTATATTTAAATATATCTATGAGTAGAATACAAGTCCCCAATCTCGGTTTAACTATACCCAGGGATGAATTCCTCTACGCTCCTCTGCGAACTCTCCCAAGATAGCCTCATATCCTTGACTAGCTGTCCTAGCTTCGTGTTAAACCCATTCATCATGCCCTATTTCCTTGCAGAATGACCAAATCGTGGTGTCCCGCAGCCCTTGCACCAACCAGTCATTCACTAACTGTGGAAACAACGGCAGGCGTTCTTCTAGCGAGTTATCATGAGCAAGAAGAACTAGCACGTTACCTGCAGCATCCAATTCTTGGATTTTAGCCACTGTATCGATAGCTTCAGCATAATCAGGGAAGAACTGCCCACGGGCCAGGTGGTAGAAGGGCTCATTGGGGCTCTTCCAAGATGCCAACTGCATCAGCACATCTCCTGGACATCCGCCGCAACCCACTGGATCTCCCCCGGATAGTGGCCGAGGAAGAGGAAGATACTGCGACGGCCGCAACACGCCAGGGTGATGGCAAGCGTCAGCGCCCATGAAGACAAACGAGGGCGGATAGGCTGTCGTGCGGGCAAGGGCACACATGTGTCCCGCAGAATGGCCTGGAGCGTCTAGAAGGTAGAAGGAGCCATCACCAAAATAGTCAAAAGCGGCGAAGCGGCCGATCCGGAGGCTAGTGTTGTCAAAGTTGATTTCACGAATCTCGCGACCCACGGCGTCACTGTCCAGGACGGTGCCATCGGGACGGGATGGGTAGCCGGGCCAGGAGGCTTTCTTGACGCCCGGACCGACAATGAGCTGGGTACTGATCGGGAAGCGGGACGGGTCGCCGGTGTGGTCGAAATGGTTGTGAGACCACACGATGGCCTCAATGTCCGAACTGCGAATGTTCAACCCACTGGTGTCGCTGTCGAGCACTGATGCGACGTCCCTGTCGCATGAGGTAATCTCCGTGGTGGCTGTGAGGAGCCGCACGATCTGGGGCGCATAATTCTGCCAGTCGATTCGCACACCCAGGTCAAAAACAAGGTGGCGATCGCCGTGCGAGAGGAGGAAGCAGTAGGAGGGCACGCGCGGTCCCTCACTAGGGATGGCTGGCTCGTAGAAGACCCCAGGCTTTAGGTAGAGGCGGGTATTACTATAAGTCAAGGGAGTTAGGTGGATGTGTCGGGAGAAACATGGACCTGACTTACGTATCTATCACCCGGACGTCCACAGTCGAACAGGATGCCGGGATCTGATGGAAGGGTGGAGTTAACTGACGACCAGGCGGTGAAAAGTTCGACGAGTCCATTGTGGGACACGGGGTTATACTGCGGAGCCGGTGGTGGTAGCACTTCTAAGGAAGAGCTTTGATAATGGCAATTCGTACTTATATTGAGGAGGGGGGGGGTATCAATAGTGTAGGCAGGGCCTTGACAGAATGTGTGGATATGGGCGACAGTGCGCTATATATACACCTGTCAAAGCAATGCTTGACACATTGAGGAAACAGAGCCAGCAGAATACTTCGTGAACTAAGGCACTTTTGGTGGGCCTCGAAAACCAGCTTTGGTGGCAATTTCAGCTGATTTGAAAAGGATAGGGGGTTAGGGCCCACAGATATCATGCATACGCCGTGACCCTATTGTCAAACGAGAAAATACCAAGACAAGTAGCAGGAACCTAGACAACCAGAGTCGAATGTTTAAGTCTAGTTTGATTAACGGAACATCCTAATTTCAAACTGTTGGCCCCTTGGTGAAAATTAGTCTACTGAGTAGCAGGGTTGAGCACTCCAATCGTCTTTTAATTTTCTGAAAGATGCCCCGATATGACCCCAGTCGGATTAGAGAGCGTTCTTAACACCTGGCAGGGCAGGATATCTCTCGAGGTGTGTTTGTGAAGGCCTGGATTTTACTTTGGGGACTTTCTCTTCCATGCTTATCTGGAAGTAGGTAGTGATATCTATCGCCTACATGTACTTGTAAGCATCGGCTGGCCCTTAGGTAGCCTGTTCGCCTGCTCTACTTTGAATCCGCCTTGTCCCGGTCTGATCCCTCCTTCCGTCTCGTAATATTGCAATAAAACCCGCGCTGCTTGAAGAAAAAGCCATTCTCCACCGAAAACCTCTCAGGATCAATGATCTTCATCTATAGTATCCTATTAGCAACCACCTAATTCAACGCCGGGTCAATACCCTCAATAAAGCGAGAACTCACATCGTATTTTAACACCAAGAAGGGAACCAATTTTTTCAGTTCAAGTATCCCAATATACTTGCCAAGACAGACACGCCGTCCGGCACCAAACTGCCCCAGTTAGCTACTCAGCCATTAGTCAAATTGGTTAGCAAAGGGTTGACACCTACCGTAAGAACGCTCTGCTCGAGCCTCTTGCGCCCTTCCCCCTCAAGCCATCTCTCGGGCCTCCACTCCTCGACATCGGGCCCAAATGTTTCCGCGTGTCGATTTACCACGTAGGGGTTCCCACCGACTAAAGTTCCTTCAGGCAGATAGTGATTCAGGACTGTGACGCCGCCAGCAGGGACAACACGCTCGAGGACAAGTGCAAAAGGGGGGTGCAGACGGACAGCTTCTTGAATACAAGCATCGAGATAAGGGAGGTCGCAGACTTCGTTCCATTTCGGGTAGGGGAGGGTGAGATTCGCTGTTATGAGTTCACTGGATAAAGCTTGGAGGGTGGCGGGGTGGGTAAGAAGATTGTCTATTGAAATTTAGAAATGTTGGTGTGCGGTATTGAGAGGTGTGATTGCGATAATTGGGACTCACTTATTGTATGTCGTTAGTTGTAAATCTGCAATCGATGTAAATAATATAAGAGAAACATACCACAGAATAGTCCGCATCACGGTTCCGACAGAGTCCGAGCCAGCGATGACATTTGAGAATGTCCAGGCGGTTGAGGCCCTGTGAGTAGGGTTTCGGTCAGTGTCATTTACCGTGTACGTACATGGAGGACATATCTACCACGGTGGCACACTCGAGTTCGCATCTTGGATCTCCAGAAAGCGAGCTAGAAAGTCCCTGTGACTATCACGCTTGGCATGGTCAGGATTATTTAGCCGTTCGCGAATGACCCTATCAACAAACCCCAGGATGGACATTGCAGGTGTCCTGCGGAGGCTATTGACAAATCTATTCTTGTAGATCCAAGGATCGGCCCATGGAATTTGTGACATCTGTGGAAATTGGTATCAGCTACACAATAGAGCATACTACCCAGAGCACATACCGGTGCGGCCGTCTTCATAAACAGAAATATTGCATCCAACATCCCATTTACATCACGACCTTGCTCCAGAAAACTATACCTTCTCGAAAAGGACATAGTTCCCATAACATCAAATGCGAAATACTGCAGCCATTCACCGAAGTCGAATGTCTTACCTGTATCCACGAAGCGAGTGTCGAATTGCTCTGAGAGACATGACAATACTTCCTCAACCAGACCCTCAAACATGACTACATTGGAGAGGGAGAAGAGCGGTGCAATGGGACTTTTGATTTGCTTGTGTATCTGCTCGTTCTGCGTATTGAACACGGCGAGCATGGGGCCGCGCTCTCGCGTATAGGGACGGAGTGTGGCGTAAAAGTCACTCTTACGTTCGCGTTGATTTTCAGCTTCCCGGCAAATACATCCCTATTGGTGATATTATTTCTAGAGAAATACGCACCTTAGGGAACCCAGGGCGAATGGGATAAACTGACGAAATGGCCTCAGGATTGCTGAAGGATACTAGGCGAGGTCCGATGCGTACGACCTCCCCATATTTGGCGTGGACCGCCTGGTGATAAAGATGAGCGCGGCCAGTTTTTACCCACCAGACTCTTTGGAGGTTGGTAATGCTAGCGAGGAAAGGTCCCGGGATGTGTCTTAGATGCCACCAGGTGTTGAAAAGGTGGAGGAAAATGGCAATGATTGCTGCTCCAACGGCTAGCCAGATGAGTTGCATATTGTCGATGTCACGCAGTTGGCTTGAGATTGACACCAAAACAGTACTTGGGGGTTCTTTTATTCTCATAGAGGTACCCATGCTCTGCCTGTATTTTCACAAAACACATCCACCTTTTTTTTTTCCAAGTCGTACAGGCACTGAAAGCAGGTTCGAGAATGAGGAATGTAACCTATATGAAACCGAGCATGCCCGTAGCTGTATGAAGAAATGACCGAACAAGGGCTCGGTTTGACCCCCTAAAACCTGCACAATTGATCATTGAACGCTCGAATTTACACACTACTATCCCACCCCTAATACATAGGTGGGTGAC